ATTGAGCGTAGTGTTGAGAATATAGAACTTGATCGATAAGGTGACGTTTATATTTTATTGAAATTATATATCACAGAATTGTGCCAGGTCATCTGTTAAGCTCTGGGAAAATAACCTTACATTGATCTTCAAAAATAACAATGAAAGAATGGTAGTCATTTCTTAATCCTTTAGAATTGACAGAAATTGTAACTCATTCTACTTTAGGACGTGAGCCTTCTAAAGTGAAGCTTTGCCAACTTGTTTCAGTTTCTTTAGGCTGACGAGATTAGGCAAACGTAATGTTGCAGTTGTTTTTTTTCTTTCAGTTAATTTTTGTTTTTCTTTGTTTTTGGTATAGAAATGTATGCTAAAGAATTTGAAACAAAGGATAAATAAAAATAAACTGTAATAGAAAAGACTATAGCATAAATTTTGCGTTTTAACCCTTACAACATTAGCTAGGTAACAATAAGTGCCCGCAAAGGAACATCACTTTATGGATTACAAGGTTAAGTTGCAGTTAGGCAACAGGGGCAACCACATGGTTAGAACTTAATCTGCCTCTAAGACACAAAGAATCGCTCATATTCACTCTTCCTCTCCTTTATCTCCTAATTTTGGGGAGCAAGGGATGGCGCAGTGGTGAGAGCCGACTCGCCTCCCACCCGTGGCCCGGGTTCAAATCTCGGCGTCGACGCCATCTGTGGGTTGAGTTTGTTATTGGTTTTCTCCTTTGCTCCGAGAGGTTTTTCTCCGGGTACCCCGGTTTTCCCCTCTCCTCAAAAACCAACCCTTCGAAATTCCAATTCGACCAGGAATCGAATCAGGTAGACGAAGAAACACTGTGTGGATGTGCTACCTCCAAATCGTTACTTATTATTTATTTATTTATTCGCCGCCCACTGTAATCTTTACTCAGTCCGCTAGAAAAACTAATAAGAAACGCATTTCAGTCCCAAAATTGCATGCATTGGGAGGGAAATTAATGTAAATCAATCAATCAATAACGATTAAGAGGTAGCACATCCACACAATGGTTCTTCGTCTACCTGATTCCTGGTCGAATTGTAATTTGGAAATGTTGATTTTGGGGCAAGGAGAATACAGGAGTACCCGGAGGAAAACCTCTCGGAGCAGTAAGGGAGAGAAACGACAAAAAAACTCAACCCACATATGGCGTCGAGCCCGAGCCACACTGGTGGGAGGCGAGTGCTCTCACCAATGCGCCACCCTTGCTCTCCAAGGAGCAAGAAGAATTTACCAATCAATATAGGTGGATAGCTTCAATTTGGTGGTATTGGACCAAATACCAAACACCTGTCTACCATGGTGCGGTGCAGCAACTAAATTAACCAATCTATGCGATTTACACTGCAGGCCCCAACTTTTCCTGGAAGGATCGACAACCGAACTCAACAAAGGGTTTTTCCTTAAAGTAAAAACACAGATTGCATGACTAAAAGACCTAAGGAGATTCCCTTTATTGCTTTTATAGTTTGGGTGTAAATTCAATACAAATGGATGAATGAAAACCATTCCGTCAACATGAGAATCCTAAGAAGAACGACAAATGTATGAACAGCACCAAGGGACCGTGCTAAAACCCTTACCAACTGCAAAATTCAGTCCCGTAAGAGGAATAGTTTCTACCAATCAGAATTCATGGCAGTGAACAAGAGGCAGAAGAAATGTAGTCACGACACCAGTGGTTTTGACGAGGACGCCGGGCAAATTCCTTAGATGTCTCTAACTCAAGCGTCGTACGCACGTAGTTGATCATATGTGGCGCATGAAATCTTGATTACCTAAGAGGCACAGGCCAATCCAACAAAGACAGCTTCCTCGTAGCCTTTTACCGTCTTTGCTTTGACTCTTCATGGCGCACAGTTATAGCATCAGTTGTGAGCGATGTGTATCCATGACGTTACGATTCAAATCTTTCTCTACAAATATTCTTGCCATGTTCATCGTACTCCGCTTTAGTCACGCACATCTTCTTAAGAAACGTGTCTGTCTTGGACAGGGAAACTCCACCTTCGCACGGATGCGTTATAGGCCTAGAAAAAAGATGATTTTTTCGTAACGATAATAGTAGTGGCTCGGGTATTGCATTATGGTAGCCCGGGTGCAAATTCCCGGCTTGGGGGATGGGCGTAGGGTAGGGCAAAGAGCGTTCACTCCCTCTCCCCGCAAACCCTCGAACGGGTGACATTCACATCCGACTAGATTATAGTTACATGAATGACGATGTGTTTTCTTTGGCATCCATTCTAAATTTGAAGGAAACTTTTGGGAGATTATAATAAGAGTCACGTTTACGGCAAACGTACGTCAGATTCAGTTGAGAATTCTTGTGGATAAAACTGGCGTGAAATTGCTTATTTCTGAGTAGAAATAACAGAAAGTAAACCACAACTAAGGGGAATACTTGGTCATGTGGAACAAATTTTACGTTTGCCGTTTGGCGTAAAGTCGTTTAGGCTAATAAGGCCAAGGAGTTGCTAAGGAGGGAAAAAGGACCGAGTCTCGGACACATGGTTGCTGATTATGTTAGCGATGAAGTGTGTAGCAGTGTGTTGATTTTTCCTGATGCGGTCGAAAACGGTGATACAGCGTTTGAGCTTGCTCATGGCATGAACATCTACGACTACATGAACAAAAGTGACACCCCAGAGTATGGTAGTGTAAAAGCAACAACGGAGAATCTCGTACAAGAAGTGGGTTTACGGCAAAAAGGTACGAACTCGCACATGACTATGACCGAGCTATGAACTGGAGCTGCTCAGCTCGCAACCAAACGTTTTCACCATGTACCCCTGGGGTAGGTGTATAAAGATCATGGACATCAGGGGAGGAAATGGCCAGTTTTTATCTCGCATACTTAAATTAACTGGATGCGAGCACGTCAACGGGGTCCTATTTCATTTTCCGGATGTTATTGAACGTTCTTAGCAAAAGAGGGGATTTCTGATAATCTAATAACATTTACTATGGGAAATCTCCTGAAAGACGTGCCGCAATCAACAGAAGAGGATACCATTATTGTCAAAAACTTGTTTGTAATTTTTACTGATGATGAAATGATCAAAGTCTTGGAAAACTGTCATGAAGTCCGTATAAAAGGTGAAAAGTTTATAATTGTGAACAGTTGTGATCCCGAAGCTGGAGATACAGGCCACAATGTAACTTCATCCTGGCTTTCGTGGTATTCACATTATGACACTGTGTAAGACAGGAAGATTCAAAACTAAGAGTGAGTGGTTACTCTTGATTAACAGTCAAGTTCCTGAGACTGGTGATGGCCCTACATTGTTTGAGTTGCTATAATGTAACTAAAAATACATCTAGGCTCGATTTCACTAGTGTGGGGCTGTAAAAGTACATTGCTGATGCCATACAGGTGTTGACCCATTCTCAAGTCGGACGGCTATGTGTAAACTATATTTAAAAACGTGAAAACATACACATAATTTTTTTTAAAGTGACATTGTGCAAAAATTAATATGATCCTAAGGTACCTTTGATCTCTTGGTTAAGGGGATACATGGAAATAACCTTAAAATATTGAAATACATGTCATATTCTCCCTTTGTTTCACTGACAAACAGAAAACAATTTCAAAAGTAAATCTAGAAGTTAAGGATAAGTTATTTGGAGCTTTTCCGTTTGTATCCTTCAGGACATGGACTAGGAACTTGACTCTGCTATAAAACATAGTAAGTTGTTTTTAAATTCCAGATGAGCAATTTCAAAACTATAGAGAGAAACTCCTTTGGGAGCCTGTTAACCAGCTGCATGACTTGCAGTGTTTCCTTTTTGATAAACCCAGTGAGTGAACTCCCTTACTCTGTCCTGGAGGTACAGTTCTATGTAAGTACTTGGAAACACCCTTCTGTAAATCGGTTACTTATCAGTCCTCCAAGTTTTTTGAATCGTACAATAAAATTATGGAACCTAATCTGTGAATTAATTAAACTCAGCGAATTTCTCAGCATTAATACTTTTAAGAACAGAATAACTATATTGATGAGCTAGCAAATGTTTTTGACCCCTATAAACTTGTTCGTGGGATCTAGCGCATAATTGTGGTTTGCATTGGCAACAATAGTTTCAAAAGCATTGTTTCAGATTTTCTTTTTAAGAGTGATTTTTTTCTGTTTTATTTGGGAGGTGTTCCGCATAAGACCTCAGGTCCCGTTTGCACCTTACCTTTTCGTCTTAATTAAGAAGAGATTTAGACCAATAAAGCTAAAAGCTAAAAATTAAAAACAGTTCAGCTTCTGAAGGCCTTTAACTGTCATCCTAATGTTATTAAAATACACAACATGGTCAGCTGACAAACGTTTTATTTTCGTTGTCTTTCAGCAGAATGTTGTAGTCATTAATAATCAGCATTGAATGACTGTTGTTTGTAAAACATGGGTTTTGCCAGATGTCGGTCACCCGACTTTGCATTGAGTAAAAAACAATATCAGAAATAGCAGTGACACATCAAGGGGAGGCGCCTGATTCCGTAACATACATGTAAGGATTTCTAAAAGAGCATTATGAGTCTTTATCCTTTTGTTGTCAAATCTGTGGAACCAAATTGATTTTCACTGTCAGGAAGGACGTTTTCAAAAAACTGTACTGACAAGAAACTGTTTATGAATTAGTGGGATAAATAACAGTATAAACATGAATCTGAGTTAGCTTGATGCTGAATAATTTGATCTGCCTTTGAATCCCAATAAAGAAAAGTGGCGTAGTTGAAGAACTACACCTACTAAGCCACGTGGGCTAAGAAAATATACCCTTTACTTGATACGACAGATTGACTGCATGGTTAAACATACGTCCAACAACATATCCTTAGGTCCAATCATTTGCACAGAAGGTGCACTTTTTAAGGTGAAATACTCCAGGGTATGTTGGTGTTTGTGTGAGCAATTGGCACATAATCGTCACAGTATTTTTCTTTCGCCGACAGTATCAACATTTTTATCAACGGTATTTCTTCGTAGAATGGAAAAGGACCTTTACTCAGGCTTCCCTGCCAGACCATTGTAGGTTGGACGCTTAGTTGGTCTGCCTGCGCTTTCACTTTGAAAAGCTGTTTAGAGAGATGAAAGTAGAGCAAAGAAAAGTCTCTCTGCTGAAAAGTAGTAAATCCAGACACAGGAATACTATCCATCTCAAAACAGAGAAATCAGTCACGATCATCTTCGCGGGTGCGAAGTTTATTACGTCTTCGAAATGAACGTTATCTGACGTGGGTAAAGTCTTAAGGTTTAACTTAGAGCATAGTTACCACTTTGTCTGCGACCCTTTTTCTTGTATGACCTTTGATCCCAGAGTGCGTACGAGTGACTTTTTGGAGACCTTTTCCCTCCTTAGTGCCGTCATTACTTCCGTGAGTGACCCCTTCCCTTATGATCGGGTCCAAAAATTCACCATTGCCTTTCGGGTCTGGGTTTTGCATCTTCAAAACCACAATGTTGGGTTCCATGTCATCTTCATCAGAACTGAGATAAAAAGACAAAATTGCAGCAGATATATTAAAAATTCTTCCAAGAAAACTATTTAACGAATTCGCTAAACTCAGTTAAGAAACGGCGGAAAAGGAAGCAACAGTGAAGTCATTATATTAAGCTTGTAAGAGAAGTTTTATTTTTTTCTTCTTTGAAAGGATGATAATGGCACTTAAAGTAGACATGTTATTACGTTAAACAACAGCAAGGAACAGTAATAATTTAGACAAGATGGGAATTAAATTTCAAGGTTAATTCGTCATGATGTATTCAATCGATCAAGTCAGTTAAGATGTAAAGATTTGCCATACTTGTGCGGAAACTCCATATGCAACTTTCTGTGGCAACCATTCTGAAAGTTTTACCTTAAACCGAATTACCCAAAGATCGGCGGACATTTTCTGATCCCCTTTTATGGCATAGCTGCGGCTGCGCAGTTTAATACACGCAGCCTGACACAGCCTTACAAAGGCTTTGTTCACACTACACCGGATACGTCTTGCGCTGGCACGAAGACCATACCGGATAGACGGACTTCTGTTCACACACAAGAACAGTGACTTCCGCGCGATTTCTGTGAAGTGGAGGGTCACATAAAGGATAGGTGTTCATACTATAAACAATTATTGGATGAGGTTTTTGTGATATCCGGAATAATCAAGGTCGAGGTAAGTGTTAACAGCCGGGGCCAAGGACGAGGCTGATAACACTTATCGAGGCCTTGATTATTACGGATATCGCAAAAACCGAATCTAAAAACTGTTTTATTATACATTTTTTTGAAGGAAATAAGGGCAAACACAGCATCGTATAGAACACAGTTTGACATTGCTCTTAAAAATCATGCATTGTGCGCTTAACCTATAGATTTGTAACTAATCTGTCGGTTGCGCTGATTTCCAAAATTAACTTTAGGCTCTTAACCACTGAGAAGACAGATAGCGATTACAATGTGTAATAAGCGTTGGTAACAATCTAGGTACCAAGGAGACGTCAACTGAGATTCCAGCTTTGAAATGGAGATATTTCCTTAGACGGATACTAGTAACGATAAAAAATAGGGAGGGTGGTTATTACTTTGCAAACTTAACTCATAATAATTTGTTCACTTTGACCTTCTGTTTCGACCGATACCTAAAAGACTGACGTATCAGCATCTCAGTTGAAATTACTCACCAACTCCCTTTCTGACGCGATGCTGAACCAAGAGGTTAGACCCATCTTTGTCTTCTTCTCTTCCTTCTTGATATTGCAAAACAGGGTGTGAGTATATTGAACCATTTCTTGTTACGCCTACACGATAAAAATCACCAGTGACGGCCGATATATTCTCCTTAAGGACGGGTTACAGACATTGTACGCACATAATCTTATTTAGCACCTATAAGAAGACGCGGAGATGGTCCAGCTGCTTTAATCCAAGATAAGTTTCATTTATTTTGTAAGAAAAAATACTTTTTTGCAGTTAGTAGCATATCAGTACGTCAGATTGTCTCACGTAACAGAATGCTTAACCTCTTTTATTTTGTCTTCTTTCTGAAGTTTGGAAACAATAAAATGTAACTACTTAATCATCAAGGATTTTGAAACTGGCTCCACTTTCAGATGCAATTCCAGCGGGCTTAACGTCTTGGCATTCGCAGTACACTACATCATTTTTTCTGCCCCATTAGGGAGCTAATACGCAACCCGACAACGGTGACGGCAACACAGCAACTCAACGCGTGCATCACACTTTTTGGTACATTTATTTTCCGTCGCTGCATGGTTACTGCAAGTGTACGGAGTGAGATTTTCTAATTCTTTATGTTTTATTCATCACCTAGACAAAAGGTGCAATGTTCGTTTTCTTTCAGTTCTGAACGTGCATACGGTCCATAAAGGATTCTACTCCAAAAAAATTGCCTACATTTGACAAATTGAAGCAAATGGAAGAGGAATAGTTTTAAAAGCGTGAATTCACATTATAATTGATGTTTTTGCTGCCATCACTTTCAGTCGTGTTTGTGTAAACTCCCTATTATTACAGCAACGGATAGAAGCACGCGCACATTAAGAACACACAGGTTACCCTACGAATTTCACCAATTGAAAATGTATTTATTTCTTCCTAGAGAAAAGAACGTGGCCACGAGTTTAGCCTTGGGCAAACCAACGGCTAAACAATATTCACTAGGTTACCAAGCCTTAAAAATAGATGTAAGAAGCACAAAACCTGCTTCCCTTGGTTCATAAGTCTTCAAAGTGTAACCTATCCTTGATCCTAAAAAGAGCGCTAGTATCATGGTAAAACCAGGACACTGCCTCTCCTGATCATTAAACAATAGCATAAAGGTCTGAAAATGTCTTACCGTCAGCCATTCAATTTTACAAGGGCAATTGTTGATAAATTGCGCAAACAAACGTAATTAACCATTTTATTACGTTTAATCATTCGTTATATATGTTATGTTACATTAACGAAAGCGATAACATATATAAAGAGTTAGGGCGTAAGTGAAAATTCGCCAATTTACCTTGCTAAATCTATCTTTTTTAAAAAATGTACGAGACAAAATTGAGGAAATATCTATGCGCCGGCGGGGATCTTTTCAAAGTTAGCTATTTTTGCGATTAACCTTTTCCTGATCAAGTGAAACATTTTGGTGCTCGGCGAGGACATATGATTCTGAAAAAAAATGGTTTATTAACAAAAGTTCTGCTGAATTCCAAGCGAACATTTTCAAAAATGAAACCCGATGAACTTAACGTCTACCCTTTCCCCTTTTACATGCGCGTAAGGTCTCTCCTGATTGGTCGCAGAAAACAATGACATGCCATTCTTTCAATTGTTTCAGCATGTTTGCAGTCAGGGTTAGGCACCATTGGTGACTTCTCTTCCGAGCAGCTGCTACATGACCCTTTTAACATGGTGTAAATGAAATAAAATCTCTAAAAACTTCAGCAGTTCGAGGAAAAGGGATAGAAGAATCTGAATAGGACTCTTTCCTACTTGAGCCTCTCTTGGAAGCTCTGGAGTAGGGAAGAAAGAGAGGGCAGAGAGCTCTCGTTTCCTCCGTCCCCAGTCCCCCCTACGCTCGAAGGCTAACTTGAGCCGCGAATGAGTTACTCAAAAGGTAAGAAAAAAAAAAAAGACCTGGCTCAAAGGTGAGTTTGGAAAATATGATTGATTCGCAATACCTCTCGCCAACATAAACAGGAAAAGACAATGATATTTTCCCCAAATGCAGAACGTGTGGTCTTCTTGTGCCTTAAGGAATATTCATGCTCAAGTGACATGTCACTCGGTCAAAAATTTAAATGAAAGAAATCGGCAAATTAGTGGCGAATTTACTATGTATTGAATGGTTTGATAAATTGGCATTTCTCATGGAGGAAACATATTTTACTTTCTACGTTTGGACTGTATTTAGATCGCCGAAAAAAAACTATTACTCGATTACTTAAACCCGTCACCAATTTGTCAATTATTGATGTTCACAAAAATGGTCAGGTGATACATCACTTGTGTAACTGACGCGACAGTTATACTTTGAAATGTTAATAATAAGGACAACGAGGTTTCCCGTGTACCAATTTCCGATTAAGAGCATTCTTCTTTGCCGAGGTTATACGCTATAATCATCTTTCCTCGCTAAAACGTTTAGATCAAGGCGTAAACTACCAAGATAAGGAGACTTGCGGCCAGTTGTATGCCCTCTTGCCGCTTAGTTTTTTTGAGCAGAAAGAAGAAAGAAAACTTCTTGAACCAGTTAGGGTATGTCGCAATGCAAAGCTATCAAAAAGCCGCTTTATACCAAGCCTATAAGGGTGAACCTGAAAGGATCTTGTTTGGCAAATATTCAGCTAATATTTGGACAACCATTGTAGTTACATCACAGCCCCTAAACTTTGAATGCCCTAGAGTTTCAAACCTCAACATCAGTGGACCTCGCACCTTCTATGAATTTTAGGTGTTTAAAAACCTTTTGAGAGAAAAGTGAGGTAGTTTGTATTCAGAGTGTAAAAAGGAGATTTTTGTGGCTGCATGAAATTGCAACAAGTATTTTTTACTATTTTCCCTTCGAAGCACTGCCACGCAGGATAGTACTGCTATGTCTGCAAATGGCTAGATTCACATGAAGCCGTAGAATGTGCGGTCCCGCATTCTATAACAGGAGATGTAGAAACAGTGTCTCCAATCAGTACCTCGATCGTGCTAATTACATTTTCTGTCTTAGATAATGCACTTCTACCGTATTAATAGTTCTCAGAAATTAAAATGTCACTAGCAAGTAAATTTTAATTTATTGTTGTTTATGAAGTGCTGACAATCATGAGATAAACCTTTTCCTATAAACATTCCTTCTTCGCCTCCATTACATTATCATCAATAAATTGTATATAGTATCATTCCTTAAAATAACTATTACGTTCCAAATGCGATTTTAAGTAATTGAATTTGCAGAAAATGCTGTCTACATTAGTAACAAACACTAAAACAAAACTACTTAATCCACAGATTGAGAGAATAACTGCTAGGATTGTTGCAGTTATCCCCAAAGTCTCCGTCACAATTGCCTGTACCAAACCGAGCAGAATTAGCCTCTGTGATACCAATCCCATGATCCGCCCTGTTGCAGCCATCGCCTCCTCCTCCAATCATCATCACGGATCCGTCGCCATTGTTCCAGTCACACCAGAAGGACAGGTAATGTTGGCTTTGAAGATTGCTACTACAATGCATCTCACCAAAGCCTGTGGTAGATGAGTAACTACCACCATGCTCCGGGATGTAACAATTGCCTCTACATCCGTTACTATTCCAGATGTTACCATTCCTAAAGTAACCGAAATTGGTAATAAAGCTTCTAAAAGTTTGTCTGCTAATGCAACCACCGGAGGTGTATAGCAGGTAAGAATGCGAGCTGTCATCACTGCGGGTAATTTTTAAAATATCACCTTGAACGAGCCAGAATGCTGGTGATATCATGTCATAGTTGTTAGATGTACTGGTAACACTGCCATAAGAAGTTGTTCGGTCATACCACCAGCTACCGCTGTACTGCATCCAGTTTGCACTGTCAGCATTGGAGAAGCGTGATATCAGTGTCCAGCCACCATTAGACATGTCACAGTAGGCCTTAAATTCATGGAAAAGAAAACAATGTGAAAAAAACATCATTAGAGATCCGGTTGACAAGCCAAAATCCCTATTTCTTTATCCCCCGAAAAAAGCGTACTGGTATTACAACTGCATCACATGAAACTCATGGAAACAAAAGAAAAAATGGTGTTCGCATTTTTTTCTTTTGATCACATGTTGCATTACGACAAGCAAGTAGACAAAGCGGCGCATTATGTTGTTTTTTCTTGTTTGTTTTTAGTCAGTACGCTAGTTTCAGCGATCCGAAAAAATAAAATCAATGAAAATTATGGGGGACACGTGGATTTGTCGTTGGTCTACCAGCTAAACATTTTCATCGTGAAAAATGCTTACTTTAAAAGATGTTCCACCAACATTAATGTAATATACTCCATTGGAGGTTCGTCCAGTTGAATAGTGGTTTGCACAGGATGACGCCGCAGAGGCTAGGAAAAAAAATCAATAGTATTCGTACATAAGATCAAGATTTAAGGAACCGATTTGATTTTAGAATAATTTTGACTTAACCTAGGTCGATGTTTTAAAATTATTTTTAAGGTACTCTTATTTAGTAATGTAGTAAGCAATATTACACTGATATGTTTGTACTAAATCTAAAGTAAGGCTATGCACTCAAACACAAGCATATAACCCCGAAGCGTCTAACCTCCCCTAAAATGTTTAGAACCATGCATGCTAGGGTTTCTCAGCCTTTCAATCAGAAGCACGGAAACACTTTTTGCCCAAACTCCTAGCCAGTTAAGTAGATTAGGTGTGAACATGAACATCGTCGAGGACGATGTTTCGCTTTTAAGGCTAGGTTCTGCCGCGGCGCTGAAACTAAAAAAGCGTTTGCGACAAATTGCAATCGGGGTTGTATGCTCCTGGCTCAAATCATATCGATAACGGACACCCCAGATAGGTTCCTTTAAAGCACGAGATATATGTTTAGATTTAATTTCATCGTCCTTTGTTTCGAATTCATTACGATACCAAAAAAAATTAAAGATGATAAAGACGTTGACTGAATGTGAGGTCAAGAGGACCATACCTATTTCATCTTTCAAACCATTTTAACAAGAAAAAGGAAGTTATACCGCCAACACAAACTTGACTTGAACGTAAGTAAAACTAAACAGCCTCTGCCAATAATAAGAAACTCTCACTCGAACTTCAGATATCTTACGGCTTCCGCCAACTTGTAAACACAAAACATGAAAATCGACCTTCGTTACACTTGACTAAACACAGCACTCTAGCTCGTGGGAAAAAACTTAGTTCGTCTAAAGGACTCGCTTGGAACTTGTATACTGTTTGACATAAGGTTCTAGAAAATACTAAACAGGCGAACTGTAGTAGCTTTTCGACTTATTTAATGATTTCAGTAACTGATGCAAATCTGCTGACTCATGTTGAAATGTAAGCATGCTCTAATTAATTATTCAAGAACAATCCAAAAACGTAGAGAACGTTCGAGAAAGTCACGCAACGCGTGAAAGCAATTTTAATACGCAACACTCAACAAAGACAAAACGTCTTTGTGCAGCATTTTGTAGCATTAAATTCATCCTAAAACAGTTCGAAGGGAGCGCTCACATGTGAAATGTTTTTCAACACTCGAAAAGAAATTTGGCGTCTCTGCGCGGCCATGTAATATCCTCTATTCGTTATTTTCCTAGACTTTCACTCAACTAAACAGGGACTGCCATTGGTTGATTCTTGGCCACGTGACCTTCACTAAAATCAAATGTATCCCGATCGCGATACACTAAGCAATGTACCCTGCTCAGGGTACATTACAGCACGTGATCAAAGCATGGTGGAAAGTTGCGTGACAATTGCGTGACAGAAGGGGGGGAAAACGCTGTCAGTTTTCTTTTTCGTGAATGAACACAACAACACAAACACGAAACCTCAAACTCAAAAGCAACGATTTTAAAAGTCATCCCGGAAGAGAAACAGCAGCTATTGGAGGAAAATGATGCAGATAATATAAGGAAAATACTTTGTAAATCATTCATTCAGTAGTTTTGAGAATTAAATTGGTGTTGTTATAAGTACCAAGTCGACTGTTTTGGTTCGCTCCGGTTATCTTTTGTTGCTGCTGAAGTGAAAGTCTAGAAATATAACAAAACACTTAATGTCAGGTACCTCGGGAAA